GGGGGAGGTGGGTGGGACGGGGCCGCGGCGCCCAGTCCCCTCCTTGCAGGGCCTCCCGATGGCTCTGTGCCTGTGCCAAAGGTCCGAGCAGCTGTTCGGCCGGCTCCTCCTCAGCCCCGGCCCCTCCATCTCCTGGCCCCTCGCGTCTCGGGAGCCCGGGTCACCGTCTGCGGCATGGCCTGCTGCCGTCGCTGCTGAGCTCGTGTTAAACTCGCTCCGGGTTTCCCTAATCAGCGAGGCCATCTGTTTCCCGCGGGGACCCGCTGGCCGTTTTCCAGGTGTGAGCCTAGGATCGTCCCCGTGGCTCTGAGGACCGCTCAGCCTCTTTCCACCTAAATGGCTTTCGCCGTCTCCGCCAGCTCAGGTGAATGTCTGTCACTGCCCGAGAGACACGGAGGCGAGACGCGGCCCAGGCTCCGCCTGACGGGCGGCTGAGCTCAGGCCGGGGACCCAGCCCCACCGGTCAGGTCCAGTTGTCATAGAAATGCCTGGACCGGGTGCCACCCGAGTGTCGAGTCTCAGGCTGAGGGTCAGAGACGAGTCCTGAGGGCTCAGGCCATTCCCTCAGCGCCGTTGGGACAGACGGAACCAGCCAGCCCAGGACCCGTCACCCCCGCCGAGAACCAGTGCCCGGGACACGCCCACGCCACCGAGTCTAGGCAGGGCTCCCGCAGGTGACAGAGTCACGTTTGGCCTCATGTCCACAGGGGAGTGCACTCCACCGTCACCGGCACAACCCCACGCTGCGAGCGGGAGAGTGAGCACACGCGTGTCGCGTGGGAAACACGAACCGTTTGTTTCACGAGACGAGTGGGCCTCTCACGTGTGCGGTTAACAAAAGGCTGAGTGGCCGTCTCTCTCTCTCCGATGTTTCTCTCTCCCTCTCCCTTCTTTTCTCCCAGAATCAATGAAAAAAACACACACACATACCCTCAGGTGAGGGCTGGGGAAAAAACCCAAAAGGTTCGATCTGGGAGTTACAAGCAAATTCGCTATCTAGCCTGTTTCCTTAACGGCCTGTCCTGTGTGTGTCTATCATGGCCATGTGAGGAAGAAACGCACCCTCTCCCAGAACCGTGGCAGGACCTGGGCCCCGTCACCGCGCAGGCGTCACAGGACGACCCCGCTTTTTACGCAGAGCCACCGACTCCCTTCGGAGCGACGGGCTTCCCGAGGCACCGCCGGCCGGCCCCCCCGCCTTGAAGGGGAGCACGTTAATGGAGCCTGAATTAATTTTCCGGGTGTTAGAAGTGCAAACAGGGCTAATAAAAGTGACACAGGGACTTTCCCCAAGAAGGATGTCCGGCCTGTGAGAAACGGCTGCCGCGTAGATGGAAATTAGCCTCCAGACAACGCTAATTATACTTTACCCGTTAGCAGGAGGGTAATTGAGCCCCTGGCTCCCCAGTAAGGCAACCCCCGCCGGCTTCCTAAAGGGGAACCGCAGTGTTTAATGTTCTAATCAAGATGCAACAATGTAGCGCTGGGTGGAGAGGAGGGGAGGACACACTGTAGCAGGGACGCTGAGGGCCAGCGCCTCCGTCGGTTCCTGTAACGCCCGCCCCCTCCCGCTGCTGCACCAGGAGGAGCCTCCGGAGGCTCGGGGCAGACGGGTGACGGCAGGAACAGAACCACCGAAGGCCTCCACGGAGGGGCGCTACGTCCCACGTGGAATAAGGGACCAGGGGGGCTCTGTACCTCTGCAGTGGAAGACGAGCTAACGGAGCCTCATCCACCAGCCCCCGGACACCTGCGCTTCTCCGAGTGAACCACGCGGTCACTCCCCTGCTGTCGCCTGGCAACCGCCACAGCGCCTCTCATTCAAAGATTAACTCCCGGAGATCTTTCACCCCTAGATAATCACACCTGTCAACGTTTCCTGACGGGCTCTGAGGGGAGATACCGGGAGATGCACCCACAAGTCGCCGCACGCCTCACTGTCACAGTAAACGTACTTTGTGACAGGAGGAGGCTCAGAGTGTGGTCGGGAGCCTGACAAGCCTTCGCGTTGTGAAAATTCACATTAACCACGTCTCATTCCTTCGTGGGGGCTCCTGAAGAGCCCGGGAAGGCAGCGCCCGGGGGGTGTTGTGTGGACCACTGACGTGGACGGGTGGCTGGTCCTCCCACAGACAGTGTTTTCTGTTCCACGGGCTCCGGGGCGCTGGTCCCTGCTGGGACGAAAGCCCGTCCATGTTGCCCAAATGCCAGGAGGCAGGCAGACTTACATGATCGACACCTTTCCAATTACAGATTACAAGCAGGTGACCTATGAGCGCAATGAGGTAGCTCACTCCTCTGTGGTGCTTTTTTAAAAAATTAGTTCCCACGTAAGATGACACTTTCCATTAAATCAGCATTTACAGCTTCTCTGGAAAAATAAGATCCTAAGAATTCAGAACCTGGGCTTCCCACGTGGTGAACACTGGCCTGGCACCTGCCACGCCACCCGCCACACCACCCGCCACGCCGCCTGCCACGTTTCACTCACACGCTCAAGCAGCTCCATCTCTGTGCTTGAGACCCCTAAACAGTCACATTGCGTGAAACAAACATTCACTAAATCATTGATACTTTCCACATAACAGAGGACCCAAACCTATGCCTGGAGTTCGATTATTTCCTAACTAACATGCTATTAATCTCCTTTAGAATAATGCACCTTTTAGAATTGGCTATTTGCAGCCGACGTCTCGGTCCCAGTGCCCCCACCCGGTCCTCACGGACCTCTCCCCACCACATCTGGGTCACAGTGCGGAGCCTCCCTGCCCCCAGGTCCCGCGTGCCCGGCCCAAGCAGGGCTGCTCTTACCATGGCCAGCGGGATGACACTGATCAAGTCCTTCTGGCTGACGTAGATCTTGGAGACCCCCAAGTCTGACGTGATGTCTCCTGGGTACTCGACCTGCCACGTGATGAGCTGCGTGGCCGGCAGGTCGCTGGGCGCTTCGACTTCCACATCAATCTGCATGACCTCGTCAGAGGCGCCGTCAGCCCTGGAGGGGAGAGAAGGACCCTGAGGGTCAGGGCGCGCACCCTGGGCGGGACGGCCACACGGGGCCAGCTCTCAGGGCACTCACAGCGCCCCTGTGAAGGGCGTGCAGACAGGCAGCCCCCAGGAACGAGCCACCGTCACCAGGACCCGGGCATTCGCCTGGCCCGAGACACCAGCCTCACTGTCCCCAGCTGTGGTCTGGGAGCCCCGATCGCAGAGGCCAGCTCTGGGCGCCTGCAGCCCTTGCTCGCAGCTGCAACGGGCCCTGAGCCACGGGGGGGAAAGCGGCCCCCAGCTTCCAGGTCCGGACGCAAGACTCCCTCTCTCGGCTTCTTAACTCCACGAGGGACGCTGGCTGGGGTTAGAACCGGGAACGCGTCTCACTTCTTTTCCTAACACATGTGTTTTTAAAGCCTGGAAGGCCCAGGGTGCCGCCACGCAGATTTCTCTCTGTATCTAAAATTTACAAGGTCGTGGGGACCAGGTTCCCATTCGGGAAAGGAGATAACCCTCCGGGCTGTCCCGAGCCCCGCCGTCCGCGTGGGCCCTCGGGGGAGGGAGGTTCACGGAGTCAGCAGAAGCTGTGTTCGGGGCTCTGTGCACCATCCAGGCCGTGTGGGGCCTCCCGCCCCGCGGTGGCTCCTGGGTGCGGGGACGACACCCCGCCCCGCACACCGACGGCCTCCTGTTTCCCCCTCAGTCCCATAACCTCAGGCACACTCAGCAATCCTGATTCCGTGAAAAGACGGGAGTTTTCTCACCACCCATCCCCACATTTTACTTCTGGAGTCCACCTTAGCGAAACCCCGTTAAACACCCCTCCATATACTCAGACTTTCCCCATTTATAACTCACTGCTCCTACCGGGACCCGCCAGCCTCCGTCGCACACAGATGGACGTCAGTGATCTTTGAAAGGGGGTGTTTCCTCCGTGAAAGAGGCTCCCAGCCTTTCAGGGTGACAGGGAGACGGGGCTAACGTGAGAGAGGTGGAGACTCAGGAGGCACAAACGTCTTCGTGCAGGGACAGGAGGAAAAGGGAAAATTCTGTTTCATGTGAAATGCCCGTGACAGGGTCCTGGCAC